ATACTATATCCAAAGTTAGGAAACAAATAACACGCACTAACAGTGGTATGCTGGAGCATTTCTTTCCAACTCCTAATTCAGTGACATCATGTCAGTAGCTTGAAATTGGACATGATGAGAGTATTCAAAGAATGGAAATCAGCAAATGCTTCAACTCCGGATTTGTTTCTCCCAGAGAACTGGTTGTTAAACATTTACCGGCACACCACTGATTGTAGTGCCACTTTTAGGTGTCCTTTTTTCCCACTTTCTCAATGGGAAGTTAGAACTGGCAGAAGGTAGCATTCAAACTAGTATGCTGATGAAAGCAAGAGAGAAGAGAATTTCAAAAATTGGTAGCTCTAACAGTAAAATGTTCTTCCTATTTAGGATAAGTATCCTTTACTAGGATTAGGGAGAAAAGCAAGCATTAAAAAAAATTATTAGGGGGGCTGGCCCTGTGGCCGAGTGGTTAAGTTCGCGCGCTCCGCAGCAGGCGGCCCAGTGTTTCGTTGGTTCGAGTCCTGGGCGCGGACATGGCACTGCTCGTCAGACCACGCTGAGGCGGCGTCCCACGTGCCACAGCTGGAGGAACCCACAACGAAGAATACACAACTATGTACCGGGGGGCTTTGGGGAGAAAAAGGAAAAAATAAAATCTTTAAAAAAAAAAAAAATTATTAGGCAAGATTTCCTTGTAACGTTAAGAGTCTTTGAGGACATAAATTCACTTCTGAAATTGCCCGTGTTTTTGGATATGAACGCTTCACCAAAGTACTCCTGATTTTGAGAATCATGACTGACTTATGGTTAGGACAGGGCAAAAAATGAGAATATTTAATAGTATATATACTGAAGAGGCTATCACTGACGAGGCCAGCCCAGTGGTGTAATGGTTAAGTTCATGTCCTCTGCTTCAGCAGCCTGGGTTCACAGGTACGGATCCCGGGCACAGACCTACACCAGTCATCAAGCCATGCTGTGATGATGACCCACATGCAAAATAGATGAAGATGGGCACAGATGTTAGCTCAGGGCCAATCTTCCTCACTGAAAAAAAAAAGAGGCTATTATTGAAAAGTACATTTCAAGTATCAGAAAATAAGTGTGTCCTTCTAATAGTCTCATGCTCTACTGACTGAGCTAGCCAAGTGACTGCAATATGTCCTTTTCGAGAATAGTAATATGGCAGCTAATAATTTGTTGTCATCCAATATTCATTTAAAATACTGCATGTGTAGCATTATTCACAATAGCCAAAAGGTAGGAAAACCCTAAATGTCCATCAACAAACAGGTAAACAAAATGTGGTATAGCCATACAATAGAATATTATTCAGCCATAAAAAACAATGAAGTACTGACACATGCTACAACTTGGATGTATCTTGAAGACATTATGCTAAGTGAGAGAAGCCAGTCACAAAAGTCCACATATTATATGACTGTTTACATGGAAAGTCTAGAATAGGGATTTCTATAGAGACAGAAGGTCTTAGAGCTGGTTGGAGGTGGGGGAATAAACTTATAGCTATAAGGGTATGGGTTTCCTTTTGGAATGATGAAGGTGTTCTAAAATTCACTGTGGTCATGGTTGCACAACTCTGTGAATATACTTAAGATCATTGAATTGTACACTTTTAAATAGGTGAATTGTATGGTATCTGAATTATATCTCGGTAAACCTGTTTTTTAAAAAACTGCATATAGTTACCAATAGTTGAAAAATAAAGTGTTGCTTGTTCTTGGAGAAATAACCAATTAGTAAATTTTTCTGTCTTTGTGGAGGCTAATGGAAATCAACCAGTAAAAACTTCTAAAGAAAATCGGAAGAGAAGTCAACTTGAATCTGGGAAAACAGTAAGTCTTATGATAATTTATAGCTTGAACGAAATGGCAAGTATCAGAATATCATTACTATAGATTAAATTTAAAATGATAACTATAATAATATCCCTAGACATACCTCAGAGTTCTGATATCCAAATCTTATTTAAATATGTTTGCTTCTGAAAAACGGGGTGACTTTAAAATAACATGTGCTGTGTTGGTTTATTAATATTTTTTAGTTTTTTTGAGGAAGATTAGCCCTGAGCTAACATCTGCTGCCAATCCTCCTCTTTCTGCTGAGGAAGACTGGCCCTGAGCTAACATCCGTGCCCATCTTCCTCTACTTTCTATGTGGGACGCCTACCACAGCATGGCGTGTCAAGCGGTGCCATGTCTGCACATGGGATCCGAACCGGTGAATCCCAGGCCGCCAAAGCGGAACATGCGAAGTTAACCACTGCGCCACTGGGCCAGCCCCCTATTAATTTTTTCTATGTAAATACTTACCATCTGATTCCATGAATGATTTGAAGTAGTTGGAGGAATTTATAAAATAAATAAAAATTAGTGTCAGGAAAAATATGAATAGGATGAGAAAATGAGAGTACAAGAATATTCAGGCCATCTTATTTATATAGAGCTAAAACTAGGCCACAAATTTCATGTGAGCTTTCTAGAGATCAAAACTAAAGTAGAAACAAGATAAGTTACCAAATTCATGTGTTCCCTAAAAATATAGCATCTCCTCCTAGTACCTAGGAGAAAGAAAAATTTTCCTGACCTAAATCCTGTAACAGTTGTTTTATATTTGGAACCTTATTTTACCAAATCAGATAATGTATTTGTCATTTTTGGGATAAATATATTTGTTCAACTAGAATTTTTAGTAGTATTAGTAGGTTTAAATTAGACAACTGGAAACTTAAGACTGTTTTAAAAAATGAAATGTTAAAGGAGTAATCTCAAAATAGTTGGTTAATACTATGCTCAATTTACATATATTAAGAAGGGAATGGAATAACCTGACATTTCATTAATATATTAGGTTTTGTAATTTTCCCCAGTGTATTAAGCTTTGATTTTTTTCTGCAAAATCATAATCCAATTTGTATCCTTACAGAGTTTTTTCCAGAAAAATCAAAGTTCAGTAACTCAGGGAATCTTGTTAGGAATTTTCCTCATTCATTCTCCCATTCATTCAAAAGTGTGTATTGAATGTCCCATATCTGTCAGGCACTGCTAAATACCAGGGACACAAAAACAAAACGTGATTTAAATCCTACTGGTACCAAGGTAGAATGTTTCTCTTCTTGCAGCTCATTTTTAAATCTTTTTTCCTCTCTTATCCCCCCAAAATATTTTACTATTTTGAGGACATAATGTTAAGTCTATCTTTCTAACTATTCCAGCAACCCTAAAGAAGACCTTATACTTTGTAAGTGTATACTGTCAGCAGCCATCAGAAGATATAAATATGTCAATAATAAAATTTATCCTACTTTTAAAGAACCAAGTGTCATATCTTAGTAGGAAATAGCTATGCTAGGTATAATTTAAAAACAAAAAAAGAAAGAAACCTCAGAGACATGAAAAAGATCTAAAATTAAAGACCTTTAAACTGGAAAGTATCTCTATTCTTAGTAGTTGTTTTCTTTCGACAGGTCCTTCATCACTTCGATTCTTCTAGTCAAGAGTCAGTGCCGAAAAGAAGAAAGTTTAGTGAACCAAAGGAACACATATAAAAATTGTTTTTTTCTTCTGCATGTTTGCAAAGTTCTTCTCAACGTTTAAACTAAAGGACACTATATTACTATTTTAAGGTGTGTTTGCCCTACCTCTGAAAACTTATATGTAGTGTTAAGCAGTTAGTACACTAAAATGAATTCTTAATTGACTATCATATGATCCTTAATCTTATCTGAGACAAATCCAAGAGAACTTTTGAATAAAACCAAAAGTGCCAGTGTCGTAATTGATTCTGTTCATTATCTATTCAATATTGATCTATTTTTCCATTTTGGTGGACACTTCCTTTAAACATATATTGTTTTAAGGCCCTCTAATGCCATTTTTGGAAACAAATAATGTTTATTTTGTATTAAATTTTGGAAGGAATTCACTTTTTACTTATGTTAAAACTATACCTTTCACTGGCTGTTTGTCATTGTGTTAAAACAATGTTCTTCGGTAGTTTGATATAGTGTATTAATATTATAATATATAATGTACAATTAAAAATTCGTGCTTTACTTTTTTTAATATTTTTTACTGCAAGACAAAATGATGACTGATTTTTAAAGTCTGGCATTTTTGGCAGCATAAATAAAATATTGTTCAGCATCTAGACTCTTTCATGACTTCTCATTTTTATTTAATTAGCAGAAAATGTTTAGACACTAATTTTGAGATCATTTTGGTAGATGTTATTTTGCAAGAGTTGAGCACACTTCCTAGAACTTTTGAGTGATAGTGTGAAGGATGCTGTGCTTTTAGTCAGAAACCTAGGACCTGGTTCCAGCCTTGATGGTTTCCTTTGCTTTAGAAAAGGAGGACTTAATACTTGGCCTGTTTGCCTCCTGCAGTTTCAGCAGCCATATTCTAAAAACATACATTATCCGTGGGTTTGCCAGTAGTGGGCACTAACAGAGAACGTTGGTATGTATGCGATGGTAGAAATGTACCTGTCCTGTTTAAAGTAAACCAAATAAATCTCCACAAACTGACCCCAGATCAGGTTTTTCTGGAACCGGAAAGTTAGAGATAAGCTAATTGTTAAAAACAACCAATTTTAAAATGTTTATTTATTCTTAGTTTTATTGGATCCCAACCATCTCACCTAATTGTCCCAGTATACACTGCTACGGTAACACACCTGCTACACTGAGATTGACCAACAGAAACCTTCGGAGATCGACAGCGGGTGCTGGCTAACGGAACGCTGTGATTGGCTGGCTTACTGGGGGTGGAGAGCGCAGCCCTTTTTCCTCTGTTCTTACCAAGGTTCCTTCATTGGATTGACCAGCTGTCAGATTTAACCCAAACCTGCCTCCTTTTGGTGGTGTTTGTCTGGATCGCAATACAATAGCCGGGGGAGAGCCTCCCCTTGTAAGCTGCGATTGGCTAGGCTCAACATTGGCCGTTTCTGATTGGTCCAATGAAGATACACCAAGGTAGGTTGCCTAGGGATCCTGAGGAAGCTGATGTGTTATTTCTTTTCTGCATCGAACGATCAGGAAGTTTGTGTTCTCTGCGTGGCTGAGAAGTTTTTCACCTACTAGGACGGGGGTGGGGGTGGGGGAGGACAGGTGTCCCCTAAAATAGAGCGCAAGCTGCACCCTGCGTCCGGCCATAACCCAGAAGTAACGTCAGGTAAGCAACGGGGGAAGTACATTTCCTAGCTACCAAAAAAAAAAAACCCTCCAAATTTTTTATTCTATGGAGAAAGGGAGGATTTGATTTATTTAATTTTTTGGCCATTTGTTTTTTTTCAAATAGGATTTTTAACTAGTAAATGTCCAAGGCGAGTTAATTCCTCAAAGAAAATTCCCCTTTATTTTTTATCCCCGAAAACGTAAAGTTTCTTGGATTGCGTTAGGAAATAAGCCCTATTCACAGCGCCAGGTAGGGTTGGTGCCCTTAAGCTTTTATTTCATAGTTCTCTTCCTCCTTCACTCTTCTTCCCACCTCTCACCAAGAATTATATTTGAAATACAGCTTTGTACAAAGAATCTTTTTGTAAGTCACTTCATTTGTATTTCTATTTTAAATGTTCATATGCGTTTCTGAGTATTCATTTTAATCAGTATACATTTATCGAGCAGTTACAACATTAAAGACATTGTGCTAGTTGCTATGGAGAATATAAAAACCCAAGAAGACAATATCCCTGCCCTCAAGAAGTTTACAGCTGAGAGACAGCCATACCAAAAGAAAGACTATAATAAATACTTTAAAGGAAGTAAGTATAAATAAAGTTCTGTGAAAGTGCAGCTGAGGGAGAGACCAATTCTGGCTATGGGACGTATCGGTAATGGAGAAGGGGTTTCACTTAAGGCTTTAAAGTGGGTCCTCAAATGCCTTTGAAGAATGAGTACAACTTAGAGAGGTAGGGAAAAGAGAGAGAACTGCAGCACGTACAGAGGAGCAGACATGGAAGGCATGGGACATGTTTGAGAAATTATTTAACAGTACATAATTGGGAGTAATGGGAAATATTGCTAGAAGGTAGAATGGGATCCCGTCACAAAAGCTCTTGAATGCATTCTTTCCATCTTGAAAAAAATATTTTTTTATTTTTTATTTTTTTTAATTTTTATTTTTTTGTTGAGGAAGAGTCGCCCTGAGCTAAAATCTGTTGCCAATCTTCCCCTTTTTGCTTGAGGAAGATTCACCCTGAGCTAACATCTGTGCCAGTCTTCATCTATTTTGTATGTAGGTCACCACCACAGCATGGCCACTGCTGAGTGGTGTAGGTCCAGGCCCAGGAACTGAATCTGGGCTGCCAAAGTGGAGCATGCTGAAAGGCCATGTGGCCTCCCCTGAAAAAGATATTCTTTTAAATAATTGCTGATAAAAAATATTGTCTATCATCTTAAAAACTGGCATTTACATTTATCTAAAATAAACTATGCTAACTTTAAACCTTATCACAGATGATTTAGTGTAATTTCTCTTAACTGTAGATTTTTAAAACAACTGTAGTTCATGGTATAAAAGGGCATGTGCTTTAATTTTTTGTAATTGAGAAAGAATTTGCTAATCTTTTAACATTCTCTTGCCACTCCTTTTTGTTGGCAGCTATTTGTGTATTTGCAAGATGGCTAGTGAGGGGTAGGGGTGGAAGTTTTCTGGCTGTATGGAACTGCTGCACATGGGCTTCGGAGTGGTATTCCATAGACTGGTGATCTCAGTGAGTGCGTGAAATGAGCCGTTAGAGTATGGGGAGAAAATGTCAGAACATGTATTTCTATTGCTTTTCTTATTTTTTTTACTTTCTATTTTTTGTGTATGTTTTCTAATGTACCATTGAATGTTTATAGAAATTAAATATAAATTATTATATGCGTTATGGGCCTGGATGCTCACAATTTTTTGCTGTCCCATATTATTTAACTTGGGGAGGATCCATTTTGTGAAAGAGAAGTCACAATGATGGACATTCACTCCTGGATTATAGATTATGCACAAGAAATCAGCAAGTTTAAAGGGTGGTCATTTCTGCTGGTCTTTAAAATTACTGATTTAATTTCTTGTCAATGCCTTCTGTGGAGTTCAAGTTACTGTACTTTGGAAAAGATATTGTGTTACCCACCTAATTTTTCTGGTCATTACTCCTTTCTTTCTTTCTTTCTTTCTTTCTTTCTTTCTTTAAGTTTGTAAATATTTCTTATTTGTATACATTTTTAGTATGCATGTATGAATATCTATATGTGTTTATTTACATGAGGTATATAAACACACCTATACACATAGGTGTATACACCTATACACATATAGATATTTTTTCATCACCCCTTCCAGAAGCAGGTGAGAATGACTACTTTAACTCACCGAGCCCGTCGCACTGAAGTAGGCAAGAACTCTGAAAGGAAGGTGGAAAATGAGGAAGACACTAATCAAGACAGGAGTCCAGATGATGAAGACTCTGGAGACTCTAAAGATATCCGCCTGACCCTTATGGAAGAAGTGTTGCTCCTGGGACTAAAAGATAAAGAGGTAATGCAGTTGGGTTGCTAGGCTGTCTCAAAGACTCTTAAGTATTAGAGTGTTTTTAGGAAGTAATCTGATAGAACATTTTCATTAATGCTAAGTTGGCCTTAGAACTGTGCTCTAGCCATCTGGGAGATAGGGAAGTTTGGGAGGGTGGCTGATACTTGGTGGGTAAAATCCAGAAGAATAATTACTTGAAGTGTAGTTTAATAACAAAATTATTCCAAAATTTTAGAGGATACAAGAGAGGATATAACACATTGTCAAGTTTTTGTACTTGTAGTTTCCCAAATGAGATTGGTGATGAAATAACCTCGTATTAAACTAAGAAAATAGGCCCACACATTGAAGTTTTCTTGAGCTTTGGGGAGAAAAAGTCTTTTAAATGAAAACACAAGAAACATGTATGATTAGCCGGCTTACAAAAATAAACAGCAGGTAAGTTTCTTATTGTAGAAATAACTTTTTAATTTTATTCTGTGCATCTTTAGAAGTTAAATAACAATGATTGACAAGGATTATTTTAATTTTAGAAGTGTTTTAAAATTAATTTCAGCTTTTCCTTTCTAAGTTTTCCCTTACTAATAGAACATTTATTTTATAATAGAACTAGTCTTGAGATAGCGACTCTTGTGATATAACCAAGTATTCTTGGCTTTTCTACTAGTAATATACATTATCCTTCATTTGTAAATTGACTTTTTATTGTGTGTTCCCATCACTTTCTTCCCTCATGAAGAGGTTATGAAGATATATAAGAGTGTTACGGAACCTGAAGTGAGTTCATTCACCCATTGCGCAGCAAGCCAATCTCTGACACTGGGTGTGGTGGAAGAAAGTAGGAATTTTATTTTTGCACAACACTGAGCGAGGAGAGATGGCAGCTAACGCTGAAATCCCAAACTCCCCGAAAAGCTAAAAGGAAGGGTTTTAATTTAGGGTTTTAGGTAGGGGAGGGGGAGCATATGGCCTTGCTGGTCGGAGCTTTCCCACCAGCCTGTCTTTGGCCTTGAGACACTTGCAGAAAGGAGGGAGCCCGTGACCTTGCTGGGCAGCAACTTTCCCACCAGCCCGTATCTCTTTGTGGGAGGAGATGGTCCAGGTGCTTGTCCCTGGAGGAGAGTGGATTCTGGAGCCAGGAAGCCAGAGAGTAAGCAGAGAATGAGTGTTCTGGTTTTAACCCCATATATGCTGGGTTTAATGTGGGGAAACTGATATCGGGGTTGGTATCAAAGGTAGTGTTTTGTGTGTGTGTGAGAAAGATTTGCCCTGAGCTAGCATCCATTACCGATCCTCCTCTTTTTTTGCTTGAGGAAGATTAGTCCTGAGCTAACATCTGTGCCAATCTTCCTCTACTTTGTATGTGGGATGCCTCCACAGTATGGCTTGATGAGTAGTATGTAGGACTGCACCCGGCATCCAAACCCATGAACCCTGGGCCGCTGAAGCAGGGCACGCAGAACCACCCGGCCATGGGGCCAGCCCCCTATAAAAGTAGTACTTTAAACAGTCTGCTTCCTTTCCAAGAAACTCTTCATTAAATATAAAATAAAATAAAATAAAATAAAGGCATATTTGTTATTGGCCTCAGTTTTGAAAACATCAAATTAAAATGTTACTTTATATTTAAAAAATACTAAATTTGGCTTTGATAATTGTCCTTAGCTAGAAATGAATTGGCTACATACATCTAGTAACATCTCTTCTAATCTCCATTGATCCCTCAACTTGAGAATACCCTAGTTTCTTAGACTTTATGTTTATTTTCTTTATAAGACTTGTTATAGCCTCTGTATTGTTAAAATTAATATTAGAGACGTGCCCATATGTGAATGGCCAAGACACAGGTATATCAGAAAACTTTGCCTGGAAATGTATTTTCCTGTTTGCGGAGAAAGTTGATGAGGCTCTGGTTTTATAACAGTCAAACAAACGAAAAAGCAAAACTGCCTTTTCAAGGGATGTCAGAGTAGGTCTGAAGGTTGGGTGGCATAAATACTGTTTTGAGATGTTTACACAGTACCGAGGAGACAGTCACTGACTGTAGAAGAGCATATTTGAGCGAAAAAGCTATTTGGTTTGTTTTGGTTTTGAATAGGAATGATTAATTTCCTGCTAACCCTAGATAATAGAATTTTTGCTTCTGTTCTGTAGATAAACTGCCTGTGGACATGTCTTCATGTGTTTCTAAATTTATAATAGTAGATAGTTAATATAAACTTAAGGAAATAGAATAAAAAATAAAGGAGCTCATTTAGACCTGTGATCATAGCGGGTACTCAACATATTGGTGAGAGACTGTACAAGTTGGGGAGACAATAATTAACCACCTTTCGAATTGTTTTAATTTTATTTTTGAAAGTAGTTGATAAATTAGGTCTTTAGCTTTTAGTTGACTCAAGAAGAACAAGAAATGACAAATCCTTAGATGTAAATAAACAGGAGAGGTCCAACCTTCTGATTTATTAAAGTAGTAGCAGTTGTTCCAAAGTGCAAGTTACATAATTCTCCCTCAAAATATTACACTGCTTTCCAGCACTACTTATTTTTTCTCATCTCCAAAACTACTTGTAGATTGATTTAATCAATATTTTAAAGAAATAAATATCAATATTTGGCATGACTGGGGACACTCATTATGTGCTTAGCATTATGCAAATACTAAGGTAAATATAAAATAGTATAATATATGGTCCCTGTCCTCAAGAACTGGCCTTCTGGCTGGGGAGACAAGATATACATACTTTTTAAAAGTTAAGTACCCAAAGGTCTGTCAACAGCAGAATGGATAAAAGTGAACCATCGGGGCCAGCCCAGTGGTGCAGTAGTTAAGTGCACACGTTCCGCTTCAGTGGTCCAGGGTTCGCCAGTTTGGATCCCGGGTGCAGACATGGCACCACTTGGCACTGTGGTAGGCATCCCGCATAGAAAGTGGAGGAAGATGGGAGTGGATGTTAGCTCAGGGCCTACTTCCTCAGCAAAAAGAGGAGGATTGGCAGCAGTTAGCTCAGGGCTAATCTTCCTCAAAAAAAAAAAAGTGAACCATCCATTTGTTTAAATGAGTATAAATATATTTTCTCTGCAGAATGAAAATGAACATTGTTAGAAAACATGTATGATTCTCATATAATGTTCAGTAAAGGAAGCCAGACACAAAAGAATACATACTGTATGATTCCATGTATGTAAAATTCAAAAAACTAAACAGTAATGTTTGGGGTTGCATATTTAGGTGTTAAAACTATAAAGAAAGGAAGAAAGGGATTACCATAACTGTTAGGACAGTGATTACCTTTTTGTTGGGATAGGGAGGAGGGGGGTGTTAGTGATCAGAAAAGAGCATGAGGGGGCTTTCTGGGTACTAACAGTTTTCTGTTTCTGTACTGGGGGAAATTTCATGGATATTCACTTAGGGATAATTCGTTGAGCTTGAAACTTTTGTGCACGCTTCTGTGTATGCATTATATTTCATAATTCAAATGATTTTTAAAGAAGTAAACAACAATTAAAAAAACAGCAAGTTTTTCCATGTTAGAACAGTAAAAGCCAGAGGAGTTGGAAGAAGGAGAGATCATCATGGGTTGGAATAGTCTGGGGAAGAAGAGAAGGCAGTGAAAGAAGCTGAGCTTTTAAGAATGGGTAGGATTAACGTAGATGGAGAGAGGGGAACACATTCTGGATGAGGGAACCTGAGGGAGCAAAGACATCGTGAGTTTGGCAGATAATTGAGTAACCAGTATGATTGAAGTAGGTGGTGTTCTTGGAGAACAGCAAGATTCAACGTTGGCAAATTAGATTCAGACCTTAGCATGGAGGATTTTAAGTGCCAGCCAGAGACTTGTAAGCTCTTAAGTAAAAGAGGATCAGCTTAATGAAAACAGCAAAGTCCATTTTTTTGTGTGTCCAAATTAAGGACTTAATGATATTTTCATTCTATGTTCTATGTGAGTATATGTTTATAATGTAATATATGTATATAATTTCTTGTTTCTATATGGTTTAGGGTTTGTAACATGTCAAAAGAAAATCCTAAATGTTAAACTTTGCATCCCAAAGTCCCAAAGTTCACTTTTGCTGAAGATTTCCATAAGATTCTCTGTTTAGAACTCAATACTATAATTTTTTTTTAAGATTTTATTTTTTTCCTTTTTCTCCCCAAAGCCCCCCGGTACATAGTTGTATATTCTTCGTTGTGGGTCCTTCTAGTTGTGGCGTGTGGGACGCTCCCTCAGCGTGGTTTGATGAGCAGTGCCATGTCCGCGCCCAGGATTCGAGCCAACAAAACACTGGGCCGCCTGCAGCGGAGCGCCCGAACTTAACCACTCGGCCACGGGGCCAGTCCCCCAATACTATAAGTTTTAAAAAATTGTATCCGTTTCGAAAAACATAGAAATTAGAAAATAATATAAGGAGACTAATATTTCAAGAATTGTAGGCCTAGAAAGGAATGACAGAAGGTCATATGGTCAAATTGCTCGTGAAATATTACTGTAATCCCTTTCTAAAGATTCTTCTGAGAAGTAGCTGCCTGGGGGATGGTTTTAAAACGTTAGGCTTCAGGGGGCCAGCCCAGTGGCGCAGTGGTTAAGTTCCCATGTTCCACTTCGGTGGCCTGGGGTTTGCCAGTTCGGATCCTGGGTGCGGACATGGCACCACTTGGCAGGCCATGCTGTCGTAGGTGTCCGACATATAAAGTAGAGGAAGATGGGCATGGATGTTAGCTCAGGGCCAGACTTCCTCGGCAAAAAGGGGAGGATTGGCAGCAGGTGTTAGCTCAGGGCTAATCTTCCTCAAAAAAAAAAGAACAACAAACACATTAAGCTTCATTGTCTTGTGAAAATAATGAGGAAATTTTAATATACGTTGAAGAGTCTAACCTTTGAGATACACTTAAAATTAGATGTTATCTCAGTTCAATAACACTGACCTCAACTGAGAAAATTAAACTTTAGTATCAGCCTGACCGAAATAAAATAGATTTATTTCTGTTGAAATCAAGATCCTGT